CGTTGTTTGGTGTTGTAGGGCGTTGTTTGGTGTTGTAGGGCGTTGTTTGGTGTTGTAGGGTGTTGTAGGGTGTTGTTTGGTGTTGTAGTATTGTAGGGTGTTGTTTGGTGATGTTTGGTGTTGTAGTATTGTAGGGTGTTGTTTGGTGTTGTTTGGTGTTGTAGTGTTGTAGTGTGTTGTTTGGTGTTGTAGGGTGTTGTAGGGTTCTAGGGTGATGTCTGGGTTGTTGATGGTCTATCTGTGGCATTGGAGCATCAGATCAAACACCTTCATCTTATGTGCTACTCAACCTGTCTGCAACTGTGCTATGGCATGTGCGGACTATTGAGGACGACCTCAAACCCATCGATTTGGATATCATCCATGTAAACACGATATCACAATACAGATAGCATAAACTATCTTGAACTAAGAATATGGGACTTGCCCTAGACATACTAATACAACCTACCTTGAATTCGGAATATGGGACTTGTCCTAGAGTGAATATTTCCCACAGGGTCACTCCATACGACCAAACGTCACTGTGGCATTGAGAGAAGGAGACGATATGAGGACAAAATAAGTCCAATTCTCCAACACTCCATAGTTTTGGAACAGCGTAGGGATGAACAAAAACGGGTGAAGCAAAGGCACGTGGTCACGGGTTGGACTGGTAGCAGTCCCTGAGAACGGGGCACCAGGGTATAGCCATGCAACTAGCAATGACGCAGGTGCAGGTGAATGCGTGCAGTCTATTGGGTTATTGGGCTATAGGTTGGTACATGGTCGGTGGGGTGCAAGGCCTGTGGGTTAGTACATGGTTAGTACATGGTTGGTACGTGGTTGGTGGGGTGCAAGGCCGAGAGAAGCAGTGGCAGTTGATATGATATGCATTGAATGACAGACAGGGCAAGGGACACTGCAATTCAGCCAATCCCACAACCAGCTGATTACAAAGATCACACAACAAATAGACTCAATTGGCCCATAATAAGCCCACAATAGGCCCACAATTGGGTCGTGGTCTCACCTTTTCTCGGTGTAGACTCGGCTGAGTACCGTTTCCCTGGCCATCCATCGGATTGGCAGTACGCCGTCGTGCGACTGTTTGACGTACGTATGTTCTGAGGTGGTGCGCCGAGCCAATCCAAAATCAGAGATTTTTGGCTTAGGCAGCTGGATCAATATTGGGGTTCAAAATAATATTAATTGGCATTTACTCGCTTGGTTTACATAGAAGTTTTGGCAGATTCCAGGCCGTTTCACGTTTACTAAACGATACGGTGATCGTCTCGATGGCCCTACATGAGAAATTTCATATGCACCGACCGACGTACAGGAATGAAAGACAGTCCTCCTGTCATGTCATATCATCTCCACACTTGCACACCACACAGGTACACGCACAAGCCATACACACCCGCACACGGCTCATGGGTGACCAGACGGCAGGGACATGCGAACAAACACCACAAGTGCGTGTGTATACGTGTACTCAACGGAATATCAGCCATCTCCATGCACGTCGTGTTTCTAGGATGTATTATCTATTAACCCACATACACGCACCTGGTTGTTTGTACATGTGAGATGTATTGTCTATTAACCCCTGGTTGTTTTTGCCCTGATTGAGTACCTGATTGTTTTTGCCCTGGGCTGTGCTCGCGCTGGACAGCAGGATGTTTCTGGCAGCAACGTCTCTGTGGACGATCTTATTGGCTGCCAGGTACTCCATACCTTTGGCAATTTCCTTAGAGAACCAGCTCTGCAGAGTGGCCATATGTATAGATCAGGAATAGCCGTGTGCATCAGTGTACATACACACCAGGAATAGCCGTGTGCATCAGTGTACATACACACCAGGAATAGCCGTGTGCATCAGTGTACATACACACCGTGTGTTCTAGGGTTTGGGTACAACCCTAACACTCTGTACATAAACGGGCATGGGTTTGGTGTAGCGAAGTGAGTCGGGCTATGTGTCGAGTGTGTTCTTCAAACACGTCAATGTGTATATGCGAATGACCCACGCAGCAACGACCCAACGACTGTCAACGAAGGCTCCAGGCAACAACACCAACAGTATACATGCTCACACGCACACACGAACACGCACATACGCACACATGTACACATACAGACACATGCACACGTACCTTGGCCGTGAGGGTCATCTTGTGGGGATTCTTGATCATGTAGTTGTGCAGGTCTCCTTCGTCACAGTGCTCCATCAGCAGAAACAGTGCGTTGTTGTGGTCGCACACAGCCAGCATCTTGCAGATGTTGAGGTGGTTGAGCGAGCGCAGCAGTTGCTGTGGTGACGGGTTTTAGGGTTAAGGGAGGTATGGGTTAGAAGTGATGCCGTTATCAAACAACACCGGCATGCTCAGCGTAGTGTAGGGTTTAGGGTATTAGCTAAAGCCCTGGTATCAAACCAACACTTAACCCTGGACCCTAAACAACACTCAATATCAACAGAGCCAACCTACAGATACGTGGAGACACACCGCTTCATTGAGGAACTCTTGCGCGTCACCGGCAATGCCTGAGCTTCGCATCTTCTTAATGGCACACATGGTCGCTAACTTGTTGTGGAAGATGACGCCTGCAGATGTCAAACATGTCCACATGTGTTAACAATAGGTCAACATGTGTTAACGATATGTCAACGTATGTTAAAAATATGTCAACAAGTGTTTAATATATATAAAAGTATATATACCTGCTATATATATATATATACA